ATATAGCTAGCTGCCGCCACGCTGCGTGCCAGCAAAGCTGGTGTGTTTCGCCGAAGCACGGCTATACAGATACAGATACAGCAGAGGTCCATACTTTCCAAATTATGAGTGGTGGTAATTCTGTGCAGGTATTTCAGATGTCTACCTGTACCCAACCTGTTCTAGTCCATGTACTGGGTTTAAATAGGTATATGCAGGGGTCTCCCCAGGAATTTTTAGGGGAGTGGTGCTGAAATTTTTTTTGGAGGGCAATTAGTGCCCGACGCCGCGCTAAGCGCGGCTGTGAGGGGGGGAGAGGCCCGGCCCCTCTCCGTAGGAGAAGCTGTTGCATTTTACCCTTCTGAAATGCAGTTTGTAGCCTTCTCCTGCAAGTTGAGTTAAAAATCTTACTAACTAAAGAGATAGAAAATCAAGCCAAATTAAGTACAAATGTAGGGCATTAATGAGTATTTGTACAACAAAATATACACATCCATTTCAACATAATAATTAGTTGGTATGGTACATTGTCTAGTCTGGTCAAAGTCTGGATTCTGAAGAAAAAAAACTTCTGAAAAAAACAACTTCTGAAGAAAAAAAACTTCTGAAGAAAAAAAACTTCTGAAAGAAAACAAACTTACTGAAGAAAAAAAAACTTACTAGAAGAAAAAAAAAACTTACTGAAGAAAAAAAAACTTACTGAAGAAAAAAAAATGAAGAAAAAACTTCTGAAGAAAAAAAAAAACTTCTGAAGAAAGAAAAAACTTCTGAAGAAAAAAAACTTCTGAAGAAAAAAAAATGAAGAAAAAACTTCTGAAGGAAAAAAATTCTGAAGAAAAAAAACTTCTGAAGAAAAAAAACTTCTGAAGAAAAAACTTCTGAAGAAAAAACTTATGAAGGAAAAAAACTGAAGAAAACCAACATTCTGAAGAAAAAAAACTTCTGAAGAAAAAAAACTTCTGAAGAAAAAAAATTCTGAAGAAAAAAACTTCTGAAGAAAAAAAACTTCTGAAGAAAAAAAAACTTCTGAAAAAAAAACTTCTGAAGAAAAAACTTCTGAAGAAAAAAACTTCTGAAGAAAAAAATTCTGAAAGAAAAAAACTTCTGAAAGAAAAAAACTTCTGAAGAAAAAAAAACTTCTGAAAAAAAACTTACTGAAGAAAAAACTTACTGAAGAAAAAAACTTCCGAAGAAAAAAATTCTGAACAAAAAAACTTATGAAGAAAAAAAAAATTATTCAGCACAAAGTTTTGATTAGTTTCCATCCCATTGTTTTCCTAAAAATCAATGTGATTTTATCAATTCTAAACGCCCTAAAATTAGCTAAATCGGCGCTTTAGGGTGATTGCGTAATATGCGTGCACTATGACCTTTGACTTTTTACGGGTCATGCAGCTCTGTGCCGGCCGCCCTCCCACCCCTCGGCCGTGCGTTTTATGGGAAAATTTCTACTTTTTTAGGGGTTTCGGGACCTAAAAACTAACACCAGAGGGAAAATAAACCACACACGTTATTTTCATGGTAAATATCGCTAAAATGGACCACGCATTTTTCTTCCGCGTTACCGATTTTTAAAAAGGCCTCGCCATGTGCTTCACGCCGATAGCGACTCGCCACCCCCCGTCCGGTTTTGTGAGCAAATTTCTGCTTTTTCAGACGTTTTGGAACTAAAAAACCGACAGCAGGCGAAAAATAAACAATGTGCATTATTTTCATGGGAAATGTCGCTATACTGGCCCAGACATATCTGTTGCGTTAACCGAATTTTGCGGCCGCCACATGCTTATGGTGCGGTACGGTAGGGAATTTTCCACGGCTAGTTCGTAAACGCATCGGCTTTATAAACTTATTTTCGGGGTCGAGGGCTTTGTTTTACAAACCAATCAGACAATTAGCGTTGTTTACATGACTTAAAAACGCTAGCGGGGCGCCCGATGTTCCACCAATGACAGCGATTCTCTCGGTAGCGTCGTGCAAAATGGTCATTCACTACTCGATTATCGCCCATTCACAAGTTTCAGAAACAATGCCGACGGGAAAATAGACGCCACTCGCGTCAAGATTTCGATGTTTTTTGCCTATTTATCCGCGAAAATACGAAGAGAAGACCCTTAATTTGAAAATTTTGGGAGTGGCGCTAGAAATTTTGGGAGTGGCGCACCGCCGTTGCACCATTGCCTGGGGAGACCCCTGTGATATTATGGACACAGATGTTACATGCTACATTTAGTTCGCTAGTCCATCTTGTTTAGAGTGCCGTTGGAAGTTGCGACTAGCGCCTAGCGTCAACAAATTGGCCTCCGCCATTTTCCTGCTCCTGCTTTCGCAATGACGTAACTGCGAAGTTCTAAAGAACTATGAATCTGCTCTGTCTGAATCTTCTTCCTTGTATTCCGCCATGTATTTTGTAGCACAATGGACCACAGAAAAACTGATATAATGGGGAGCTCCCTTCTTCCTACTTCCGGATGTTGGCCAGTATGCAGCAAGTTTAAACTGTAATTTCCAACACAAGAAATTGGACTCACCCAAATTTTCGACTGTACAACTCCAGTCTTTGTCAAGGAATGAACAATCCACCACTTCCGTGACGTCACGCAGGTAACACATGTGACTCCGTGAGCACTGGATCATAGGTTGCAGAACGTCTGTGATGCCCCCCGTCTCTGTTGAGGGATGGTTGTAATGCCCTGATGTAGATGATGGCCTCTTTAATCCCTCGTGCAAAGAAATCCGGTTCTGAGTCCTACAAGCTAGTAAACAGGGCTAAATTTTGCAATAATCTGTGGATGTGCCTAAAAGCTCATGTTGTTTTTATTCCCCCGTCGTCAATGTTATTAACAGCTTGTTTTAACTTGGGATGCAGACCGCGATATTCTCCTCTATCGATCTCTTTATCCTATTCTTTGTGGCTGTTTTCTAATGAACCTTCAGCATGCTAAGGTCCAGTGTACATGCTAATGTCCAACACACATACATGTACCTGTGCGTCCAGCATGTTGAATGTTGATTACACTGATGTAGAACACACTGCTAGTGAGGGATGAAGTTGGTAACCAGTTTGAGATGGGACTTGAACCCACGACCTCCAGTCCAGAGGAGCAAGCCCCTACACTACAGAACTGCTTCTCTTCTCCTTGCTTCATGTCTGCTGTATTTGGGATGAAGCTGGTTACCAGTTTGAGATGAGACTCTAACCCACAACCTCCAGTCCAGCCCTACACTACAGAACTGCTCCTCTCCTCTCTTCTCCTTGCTTCATGTTTGCTGTATTTCTCCCCAGACGGCTGCAGGCCCTGAAGAACGCCAACTACGACGTCCTGAGCGACTCCCCCCAGCAGAGGTAACCGCTTTCCCTTTGTTTCAGGAGTTCTCAGGTGTTTCAGCCCTGCCACAGTGCTACACACATTTCAGGTGCAGAGCACGTCCACAGTGTCGTAGGGTCGGTTCTACATGCTGTCTCCACATCCACGTTCCATCCAGACATCACAACAGTGTTTTAGCCAGCCTAATTTTTCCATCACTTCAATTTTGTTTAAAGGAACATCGTGTCATGTGTGCCATAGGGAGGCATTGACCCCCTGTAACGCAATTTCCAATTTTGAGGGGCAACTTTTGCTGGCATCTCAAAATCTCTTTCTTTGTCTTTACATACCAATTTTCGTCCATCAAGGATGACGGATTGGGCAAAATTTTTATCTGTCGTAAGCAGCAAAATTCTGTCCAATGATGGAAGGACAGGCGCTGGCTAGAACACTGCACTGCAGTACCTTCCTAATCCACCAGGGAGCTTTTTGTACGTTTCCGAACAGCAGCCTTTATACACAATATCCACAGCTGAAATTCTCTAGAACAGTTTTTTATCTGCAAAAGACTACCATTTTATGGCTTTTAATCCCACATTCTAAGATAAGTACTGGTCGACTATGCTGGTCACTTCCATAACTAGTAGTATAAAATTCTGAGTGAAAATTGAGGTACAATACTGTCATTAGGCAGTCAGCAAGAAATGTAGTGTGTTTTGTGTTGACTTGCAGTATAACAGATCACATCATCATCAGTACAGGCAATTTTGCAGATGCTGTTTTCTTTCCAAAGATTTTGTTGTTAAGGTCAACCAAGAAGTACTACTACAAAATACATTCCATACATGTACATGTATGTTGATTGTGTCCAGGCAAACTTTTGTGTGTGTGTTTGTGTTTGTGCCATGCTTGTTGTAACAACCCAGCATCTTTCCTAGCATGATCATAACAGTTTTCTTTCTCACAACTTTCTCACATATTTACTTTGATCATCAGTGATGAACTTGTTGTTGAGCCCCAATGACATCATGAATGACATCAATGAGAATTGCCAAAAAAACAGTTACTCAAGCAACTGGATATAATTTTGGAAACGGTCAAACGTTTCAGGTAGCATCCACTACCATTCGTCAGTGACACTCTTCAGTAAGAGACTGCAGGAGAATTGCAGGTTTATAAGCACGAACTATTGATTGATATGCAAAAACGTCTGACCGTTTCCAAAATCATATCCAGTTGCTTGAGTAGTTGTTTTTAGGCATATCTTACTACCTGGATGTCTAACCTTCACCGACGTATCATTGAGAATTGTTTATCTGATCCTGTTTGCAGATATTGTTGCAAAACTTGAAGTTTTTGTCTTTTTGTTACTCCAGACGCGACGACCCGTACGCGGACAGGAGAGACCCTTACGCACGTGAGCGATACGAAGAGATGTACCGTCGCTATGACGATCTAGGTAAACGTATGTTGAACAAGAACTTTCTCTGCGGTTGGGTTTCAAGGAAAACTGAATGATCAAACTTCTCAAATGCACCACTGTAATAAACTGTTTCTTTGCACTTCCTATCTCTGAACTTAAGAACTTCACATACCGTGATTTCTGGCAGGGCAACTTGCAAAGGTGTTTGTATATCTGTTTTACCCTCCCTTCTACTTGTATATACCTTGTACCAGTACCAGTATCTTGTCACTTTCCTGCAAGGAAGTATATCTTTGTTAAATGGTGTGTAGTCACTCCCTCATTTTTACAAAGCATGTACAATGAAGTGTTCTAGTGATTTGAAGATTACCAGATGTGATATTTTTTGGTGGATGTTTTTAAATTGTCCAAGTATGGTACAAACTTTTTGGATATTTCTGATGTATATGTTCACGCACAGTCACTTTTTTGATAGAAAGTATATCCTTGTTACCTTCATGGGTGTAGTCACTCCCTCGTTTTTTGAAGAATATACAGTGAAGAGTAGTGATGATTTGAAGATGTGATATTTGATGGCTGTTTTTAAATTGTCCAAGTGTAGTACGTATTGTTTAGATATTTCTGATATTTGTCGTAGTATCGGCCTCCGCCGCAGCTGGCCGTGACGCCCCTGAAGGTATGCGAGTGGCGATACCTTGTGATTTTTAACCCCCTGTGCCGTGGCCTTGCGTAGTGTGCCTGCAATTAGATGATACTCCTTTGTAGATAAGTAAGATGTAGAATGCTTCTGTTTAGATGATGATGGTCCTTTGTAGATGGGTAAGATGAGCTTCAGGTTCATTCAAGGAGAAAAGTTACAACATACAATCTGAATTTGCAACATTCAATAGATTTTAGGAGCATGGAGAGATACAAAGTGTTTTTTCGATAGATTACACTAATTGATGTTCATCATTACGCACCACATGAACTTAAGTCTTGGCAGTACATACACAGTATTTACACTACACTACAATACATGTACATGTAGACTATCTATCTGAAAAGCCTGCTTCCTAATCCTATGCAGAATTGACAAATAGCTAGAACTGAGCTTTTATTATGATGAGGGATATATTCATTCTTGCACGTGAAAACTGGCATTTGCTTGGATGAACTTCAAAATCATAACATAAATCTGTCCTTCTTTCGGCTTCTAAGCTTGTAACATCAAGATTGCATATGACACAGCAAGTAGAGCTTGGTTCTACTCTTTTGAGAGGTAAGTAATAATGGTTGGTGTTGATTTTGCCTACAGAGCGCAGCAGAGAGGACCCTTACCGCAGAGATGAGTATGAAGAGCGTCTGCGTGCTTACGAGCGTTACTACGAGGAGTTCACCCAGGACAGGCCACTGGACTGTGAGATTATCGTTGTCCAGAAAGCTCAAAGGTAAGTCTTTGCATTACATGTACCAGGAAGCCAATCAATCAAACTTGTCATGTTTCTAGCAGCATAGGTTGGTTTGATGCTTAGAAAGTCCATTTTAAAAGTTAAAAATTTATCAGTATCAGTTATCAATTTTTTTGTAGGTTAACTTAATGGGTTCAAGTCCTGACATGCCACTGATCTTGTACCCTTGAGGAAAGCACTTAACACAACTTTCCTCACTTCACTCAGGTGTAAATGAGTACCTAGCTTTGGTTAGTTCCTCAGATAGGACGTTAAATGAAGGTCCCATGTTTGGGGAGAGCCACACCCCACGCAAAGAACCCACCACACTTCTCGAAAAGAGTAAGGGCCTTCCCGGTGTGAGTGGTTCAAACCTTACAGTCTGGTCTCAGAGTTGACGAGGTCTTGAAGAGGTAAGAAGCACCTGTTATGTCAATCCTTCCACAAATGTGGTAAATCTTCATAAAGAATGTTGTCCCTTACAGAAACTATGCTGAGATGGTGGAGCGTCGTCTCCGTGACCTGCGGCTCCTCACCGACATGATCTTCCTGAACGAGCAAGTGTCTCTCGCTCAGGCGCTCGACGACGTGTCACGCCGCGGGGTCCTGTACGCCGTCATCGTCACCAGCCAACACGAGATGCATCGCTCCGTCACCCTCAACATCCTGCACGGCACGCCACAGGGTAAGTCCTTTCCTTATTCTTTAATTTCTTATATATTACTTATGTTATTGTATACATGTTTTTAATTAGTTGTTATGTTAAGATGCCTGAAGTCCGACCAGTTTCTCTCAGTAAAATTTACTGAAGTAAAGTTGTCTTTCGATCAAAAGACATCTGATACTGTTCGCTTTCTTGCTTGAGATGTTTTTGTTTGTGTGCACGGTGCAGGGTAAGTCTTTTCCGTATTCTTTAATTTCTTATACTGTAATTGTGTAGAGACCCCATGTGTTGTCATCACTGGATGAAACAAGATTCATCATTAATTTTGGAAGACTACCTGTTACCAGTGGACTAGCCCCCTGCTGTAGTGTTTGCACAGCTATGTGGCTATAGAAATGGAGATGGGCAATGCCCTATAAACCCAAAGGTTTGGAAAGGATTAACTTTTAGCTTAACCTCCTAGGATGCAAAAATGAAAGAAACTAAAGCTTTGGGTATGTCTTTACTGCACGCGATGTCATGACAGTCAAATGCTCTCTACATCCAGGACAAAGGAATAAATTTGATAAAAGCTGTAGTATCTGACTATGTCTATTTATGTGGGTGCAACTCCTAAATACAAAATGTCAAAATATAAACTGCGCCTAGCTTTTCGGTAAATGATAAAGCTTATTGCTGAAGAATGTATCGCGATTCGGGACTAAAAACCCTACAAAAACACTGCTCCATAATTTTTGATCCTGCAACTGTTACAGTAGTTACCTTACATGGTGACCCATTTTTCGCTTTTCTAAACATGACAAGCAACTTGCGTGAAACCTGTGGAACATATGCACCACATGTAAATACGAGCCATTTGTCCAGATGCGCCGCCGAAACATAATGTGCCAACAAAAGGCTTGATACTGGTTACGTAGTCCCACAGTATTGGGACTGACAAATGCCTTTGCAAAGAAGCGGGCACACTAAACGCGACGATTTTCAGGACTCGTAAAGTACAAGGAGCACCCTTACAAAGGATACGGAATAAATGATAAAGGCTGAATGGCCAGGTCTCTTTGTACCACATAAACGCTCTGCTCAAATGTTTTGGACATTTTTTTTCTACCGCAAAATAGCGTTGCTGACAATAATCATTAAAGGCACTGCTGCGTTTGCTATTAAGGTTTTTTAAAACCTTCGGTCTAAAGCGAGAAGAATATGAGTTTCCCTAAAGCTATGGACAAAGTAGTTGACTGCAGATACAAATGGCTGCACATGAAATAAACATTCTACACCTAAACCAGCTAACCTTTGCTGTCTTTGTGATGATATTTTGCAAAGCGGGGCTCCACGCGAGTATATCAAATACGTGTACATAAAGGACAGTTTGTTTGTTTTATCTTTCAAATCGTGGCCAAAAGTACTCAGCATGTCATGAAATAAATCCAAAGAACAAACTGATAAACGGTGTACTATAATTTCATTGTGTCAACTCTGCAACACAGTTGCACTTAAGAATTGCGCATTTGAATGTCTTTCTCTGAGTCTGACCTTTACGCGTAACAGAACCCACTCAGTGAAACATTCTTGCCTCAAACTTTTCAAACTCAAAGGCACATGGCGTATACAAGTTCTGCATAAGTAGTGCTCAGACTGTGGTTAATTTTTCATATCAAGTCAGTGGCAATGCCATTAATTGTGTCCTTTTTTACTCTGAAAAGCCTAAAACGTTCACAAGGGAGCTGCAGTCGCAAAAGTTGATGCATGTCTTCGTCTGGGATACCCTCTAAAAACCCGTGAGGGGTATCATTGAGGGATGCGTAAACTACAAAAGCGTGTAATGGAAGTCATCGTTACTGACAGTTGTAAAAGTCTCGCGTCTCAAATAAACCAGTTAGCATACAATTCATTAAAGTTTAAACAAGTCAACATTTGAGTTTTGTCTGCATTCGGTTGAATGTGGATCAGTACCCAATGAAGTTCGCAGTAACCAAACCATGATAATGCAAACTTTTTGCTGAACTAGTCCTTTACACTAAAACAACAAGATTGCTGGTTCACTGTCTCAGTGTGTAATAATGCGATTTGTGGCATTGTTGTAATGCTGTACATGATGGTGTACAATTCTGTCCAATGTGTTTAACACTTCTTTCTTTTTCTCCATTTTTGCCAGTTTTCCGACAACATTTTGGACGACCTGACCACGGATCTCTGCTCATTTAAACAAGTTTATAACTGAGCTGTTCTCATCCCCCCACCCCCAAGTTTCATGCTCCATACAGTCTGCCAGTGGTCATTTTGGTTGACCATGATTTTACCTGACGATAGCCACAGAATTTTCAGGGCCCCTTACTTACTAAGACACACATATGTTTACACACATACAGAATAGAAACAATGTTTTAAAAAAGCAAGTCTATTGAATTTAATTAAATGGAAACTTTCATCACTTGCTCTTCCATAAGTTATAATGTTGTACAAGTATTAAGAATGTGGAGTAGCTGGCTAATCCATGCACACACAAATAATTGCAGACTACTTCAACCTAAATACTGCTAATCAAGCTATCCTTTTGCATGGTTTGAAGTACCAAAAAAAGTCATATCTTTGCCAGATACAGATCATATACATGTAGGATCATGCCTATTGCCATTTACACTTACCTCAGTTTAGCCTGCTTTTGGAGGGAAGGGCAGCAAGTACCATACGATCACAAGTCACAACAGAGTTGTCCACATGGTTACAACATAGATGTCCCCACATCCATGACCCTTTAAAGCCCGGCCAGACAACGTCCTCACGCCACTTTCCTCCCCACTACCTACATACCCTTCTCTCGAAGTGCTTAGCCCATTTTGCAAACAGATAAATTATCCAACACAGTTACAACTTGGGAGTTGGACATAGACTCTGGTTTCTGTAACCAGTATGAAAATGGAACTTTTCACCCAGTCTTTGTCCAATGCACACAGACTGATTTTGACAGTATTGTCATTTTTTATTAAGGCAAGGTAAGGGGCCCTGAATTTTAGCTCAAAAGAATCTGTTTTCGTCACTACAATGTGGTATTACCTGCGTGTGTTTAAAGTTATACTTTCTGAAGCGTGATCAAAGTCTTTGCCGACAAGATTTTCTGCAACACAGATTCAGAATGCTACGTAAATTTTCCTTCTGTAAAAGATATCACATTTTTGCTGGAACCAAGCAACAGCTCTGTAAACGTACTACCGATACTTGAATGCATTTTCATCCATTTTGCTCACCATATTTTTCCGGTTTACTTTCCATTCAGGACGGACCAACAAGGCTTTTCCGGGAGAGAAAGAAAGAAAGACCGTATTTTTTGTGGCGGATTTTCACTTGGCATTCTTGTCTCCTTGTTACCTTCAACCTTGTTCTGCCCTTTCTGCCCGTTTTCAACAGAACACAGGAACATGCCGCTAGACGATTCAATGCAACTGGTCGCGCGTAACTTTGAACGTTACATGCAAGACCTGCGTGAGCGGCAGGCCGCGGAACGAGCGTCCTCGACGTCTGCGGGACCCGCCGCAACCGCCGCCGCCGAACAGGCCCCCACGATTCCCCAGCTGCTGAATTTGCTGGCGGACGGACGACAGGTGACGGCGGAGGAGATCGGACGAGTGATCGAGTATTTGCAGGACCGCCGCAGCCGGCTGCTACAGATGCAGGGAGGACAGTCGGGGGCTCAGCAAACCCCCGGTGAATAATTTTTATGTTTACTGAAGGAAAAACGTATTGTTTTTGCTCTGTTTCTTCTTCCGTTCCAAACACATAAGGTCAGCAACCTGCACCAGACGTCTTGTCACCATGATGTAACTTTGAGTTACATCATGTGGCAATTTTATAGCAGGAGGGATTTAGGCTCCTGTCTGACCATATAGATGAATGTGTTTGAGTAAGAATTAACAGAGCAGACCATATGCGAAGGTAAACATCATGCATTTGCTTTGCAAATGTAACCTTTCTTTGAGTCAGACGCCCTAAATTCCATGATTCCTCAGAAAAATGCCCATTTTGTATATATTTGCTATTTTCATGGTCATCTCTCCAGTGCAATTACTTTCGTTCCTAATTCCTTTTGACCAGGCACTGTTGTTTCAAGTGCAAAAGTTAGTTTCAGAAAACTTGAAAGCATGAACAGTACATTGTACTCATCAACTATATCAGCAAACACTTCTTACAGAAATTACAAGAGAAGCTGAACAGCTGAAGTCATGACCTTTCCTTCCTTCTCTCCCAGCTACCGGAGCGCCCGGCCCCGCGGCCCAGTCTAACCTCGGCGGGCCGCCCTCCGCTGGTCCCGGGGCGGTCCCGGGGGTGAACCAGCAGCACCAGCAACAGGCAGAACTTCAGGCCAAGATCCTAAGTATCCTCAACCAGGACGGGAACGCACAAGCCTCGCAGGCCGGTCCCAACCCCCAGGCCGCCGCCAAGCCTGCCGCCATCGCTGCATCACCAGCAGGTGGCAAGCCTCCATCCTTGCTAGACATCTCTGTACAACCAACCGGACATCTGAAGGGCGTGGGGACGCCGCAGCAGGCGGTTAACCAGTACGGGATGGCGCAGCGCGCGCAGCCGACGCTACCGCCCAGCAGCCAGGCTACGAGTACCCCCAGCAGTCTCAACTTCGACAACCCGACGGTACAGAAGGCGCTGGACAGCCTGATCCACTCGGGGCCGAACCTGCTGAAGAACCTGAGCCAGGCCGGGCCGCAGCAGACGCAGACGCCCAACACCAACCAGACGGCGGCGCACATGGGGCAGTACGGGGGCGCGCAGCAGGGCATGGGGGCGCAGTACGGGTCCCCCCAGGGTATGGGGCAGTACCCCCAGGGTGGGCAGCAGCACGGCATGGCAGGGGGGAACCACCAGATGATGGGGGGTGGGGGTATGGGTAGGAACCCTGGGATGGGGCAGCACGGTCAGATGATGGGGGGTGGGGGGATGGGGAACAGTTTGCTTGGAGCGGGGCCGCCAGGGATGCCACGGGGGCCGGGGCCGATGGGAGGAGGGGGGATGGGGGGTCAGCGACGGTACTGAAAAAAATTAACGTGTCAGCACTTTTCTAGAATGTTATATAATTGTTAGCGGACCAGTTAAGGATAATTAATGTACGTTTTGTGTAGAAAACTGTACATGTTACTATAATAGCAGTGTCGTTAAGTACTGTATACATAATAAACGCTTCAGTTACGTTTTATTGTTTTTTCATTTTACCTGAGCAGTAATTTTGTAGCTTTTGATAGTATTGATGTAAACCTGTAGAAGTTAAGCAAATGTCTGTACTTGCTTGACATTAAGAATACTGTAATACTACATGTATATGATAGAACTGCTTTTTTGTAGGCTCTCTGAGATTGCAATAAGTACAATGTTGTGTATTGTAACAGCATTAAAGTCATGCTATGGCAGTGTGGCAAAATGTGGCAGTGTGTGTAGACATTTGTATGTTACCAGCAGGATACTAACATCTCATAGTGTTCTTGCATTGCGTAAAATATACAAGTACAATACATCAACAGTGATTGTCAAACACACTTACCCCAACAAAATAATATTATAATTGTAGAATGCCACTACTACATGTACATCTAAAACTAAGTGTAAACATGCCAGTCTGTATGTCAATACTTAGTATACATTGTCTTGTTCAAATCAGTCCGTTCATAGATACATTCTGGATTACAACCACTATAAAGGAAGCACAAATAAAGTGGCTGTTAAACAAAGTGAAATGTTAACTAGTGTTACTTCTCTGTAGTCCTTAAGAATTTAGGAGACTCCTTTTTTTTAGTTCATTCATGCCACCTTGGTTAGTCTTTGTTAACAGTAAGCTTTAAAAATGTATAATGCTAATGATATTATACATGTACTTTCATATAACCATTATATGTACGATCAGTTTTATCTTGGATATTGGCTGCTCTGTAGATACCTTCTGTAGCACATTTCTGATTAAATAAAGTGTTTCCTACTGCTTACCCTCATACTTCAATAAACACTTTTTTTCCAAATCTTGGTGTCTGCATGTCTGTGTTTTATTTATCCATACCTGTATGTATGTGTATGTCTATGCTGTAATATCTAAAAATGTTGAAAGGATGTGTGAATGATTGTGGTGTGTTTTTATTCTATAGATGCTTTTTTTTTCTATCACTTCCAAGAGAACTGCTGAAACCTTATATTTTATGGTCAAAGCTCAAACGGTCAAAAACATTCACCCAAAGGCGAAAGAGAACACAATCATGGTATGTGCCCCCCACCCATTTTTTTTTATCCCCCCTCCATGAATTATAAGTAGGAAGGTGTGAATGTAGGGGGAACCTGCCTTGATACCTACAGTCTGAAGTGCTAAATGGTCCTGAATAACAGTATGATTGTGTTACGAACCAGTATCAGGAAGTGTGCAAATGCTGATGTGAGCATGTAAATACCATGAACACACACAACACCATGCATCCACATAGCGTACTTCAACCCCTGTCTTGTATGAGCCATACGGTGATACATTACATCATCATCTGGAAGAATAGTGTGAATTGACACACTGATGGAGATTCTAATCAAGCAAACAATCTTATATCGCAAGTTGGAAAGGGTTCTGAATAACCTCTATGTACAACCATCATGGATATACTGTATATCCTATGCTCGCTTTGCAGAATTTTTCATTTTGTTTTGAAAGCCACTTTGATCTAATGATCTATACTTCATTGTACTTCATCTTCTTGGTCACTGCTAGTTTTCTTGAATTGATTATCAACTTAGCAAAGTTATTTCATATACTAGTATATACCCAACAATTTTCTTTTTCTGCACATTTCTTGTTTGGTCTCAACTATTGCTGACTGCTGTTGTCTTCAAGTCAGAACCCTAGTCTTGGAAGTAAACTTTGCTCACAAATCTCAAAAGTCAAAGTACACCACAAAAAACATAAAACATGGAGGTCTGCTTCTGGACATGTGTGTGAATTATAAGTTAGTGAGTATGCAATGTTATGATGTACGTGTGTTTGTGGGTAGGTGTGTTGTGTGTGGGTGTGTTTGTGCATGATTTGCATATTGAAAGTTTGATTTCCCAGATCATCACCTGTTTAAGCAACTTCTGTTGCCAATTCCCCCTCAGAAGGTTTTTGGTCCACATCAGCAGCATTTGCTGCCTACACAGCTTGCCATCTACTCTACTTAAAAAAACACCCTCAATAGAAGAACACAGCCATGACCCTATGTATACAAGTGTGCTCTTATTGGCTACCTTCTATCTTATGCTACAAAGTGAGAATAGTTTTCTTCATGTGACATGTCAACACAAGATACATATACATGTAGCTCTTTTGATTTCAAACTGTCCTTGGAAATTTCTGTACATCGGCAGCCACTCTGTCTCGAATGGCAGCAATTATGGGGACTGGGGGAAAAGGCGCAGTACCCTCATGCTTTTCACTTGAATTCTTGGGGAATCCCGATAGATTTTGCCAGAGAGAGAGAGATTTTGCCAGAACTGGAAAGTTGAAAAACTCGACCATTAATCCAGCCAGACCAGCCAGAACTATATTGTCCTGCTCTCCAGGCAGAGATTGTGTATCTGCCGGCTGTCACAACTTCTCTCTCCAGCCTCTGCTTTGAGAGAACAACTACATTATCTCCTTTACATCAGTCATTCAGTAGCCTGGGTGCTGTTCGATTTATAACAGCAACCCCCAAATTTTTGTATAGTCAAATTTAAGTGGGTATCTGGAGGTATGCCTCTTGTGCAGACTTCTAACAGGGCAGCATTTTTTTATGTACGAGAGGCTAGAGCTGGTTTCTATTTGTGGCAAGGGCTGTGAACTCCCTCCTCAGCATAACTCCCTCTATTAGAGAATTTAAGCCTGTGTGAAAAATTGTTGACGATCAGTGCTCCTCAAAAAAAATTAAAGGTGCTGCTACAAGAAGTCAGCAAAAGAGGCTGACTTAAACTTGAATGCAGAAGAGATGAATAAAATAAAGCAATTTAGTTTCTCCCTGCTGTGTCATGTGTTGTTAATGTGTCTTTTCTTACATGAACATCAGATACTTATAACTATAACATCTATAATTGTACTGGAGGATACAGAATACTAGTAGCTTCCACCAGAGGATGTTTCTGAAAAAGGATATAGCTAGCAACTACATGTACATGTAGCTGGCAGTGTGAGATTGTACAAGACTCACATTGGAGAACAGTCTTGAAATTGAATTTCCATGTACACATGTAGTACGTACAACATCAAGACACGCACGCGCACACACACCCAGTTACAAAAGGGTACAAGGAAGTTTGTTGCAAGCAAGAACAGTGTGGTCCCTATCCAGTAGCATGCAGGTCCACAAAGGTAAGCAGCCCTGGCCCCTTCCTTTTATCCGAGCATTTGCGTAGACTGTAAAACAATAAAACTGTTTACTCCTTTAAGTTCTCAATTTGAATGAATACCCCTAATATCCTATGACTGTGTTACACATACAAGAACCAAAGGAACAGGGAGAAAGAACATGATTAACTTTAATGTATTTCCTGTATGCATGTAAATGATGTCTTTCCCACAGCACATACTCGCTATACAACAGTACATGAACAACATCGCGATGTGATTTGATCAGTAAAATGAAAAAATGAACATGGCGAGACTCAAGTCCAAATAAAAACAGCCAATGCTGTCTCATAAACCCATTTCTGAGAATGTGGATGAAGCAAACCTATAACTCTTGAGAGAGCCTGACATGTAATCATGTAATACCTGTCCTGCCACACAACACACTAATAAAACAATTGCCAGAGCAACAACTCTAACATGAATACTCTTAAATTTTTCCTTCTGAAATGAAATTTTGGTACTGTGAAGACCAGGGTGAAGACAAAGCTTTACATAGGGTAGGTGCATCACAGGCTTCATTGGAAAACACCCGGCAACACGAAATGGACAGTCCCTTTTAAAACAACCCTTCAAGACAGACTTATAGACTCTTATAGTCCAAGTTGTACAAGCTAAATTGATTTTCTCTTGGAAGACAACTTTGACTTGACATCTCCCTTCATGTCAAGAAATGGACCACCCCCTATGAGATGTCCCAGCTGGCAATACACATGTACTTGCATTCCACTCCCTATGTTTTAAATTAAAAGCCTCAGAACTATGCGAATTGTATCTCAGAATCCTTTTAGAACCATCTGCTATATAAAAACACCCACAAACACTACAACACTCTAAGAAGGCTATACTGTACAGGGGGCCTGCAAGGGGGGGTCCCAAAAACGCTCTACGCTGAATTCGGAAACTTCTCGGTTACGCTTCACGATAAATTGCAAGTAGCTACAGCGCTTTACGTTAAGTTAAAATGGCGAATATGCTCTACGCAAAATGCGTCAATTACGCTCTACGTTCAATTCGAACGGTCCTTGTTCGCTCTACGTCAAATTAAAACAGCCAATTACGCTCTACGGAAAAGGGCTTCCGGGCCCCCTGTACAGTATAGTACTGCACACGCCTCAGGCAACTGCAAGGCTCTTCCAAATAAACTGGTCCCCACCTATGGCAATGCACCAGTCTTTCCCCCCAGGGGATGTGTTGACCTATTAACCCCAAGCCACTTGCCACCCCTGATGCATGTGGCTTGGGTCACATCTCACCAGAATCTTCACAAATTCCTGTCATTTTGGGGACTACAGGTAACAACGTACACTACTCTCATGTCCTGTGTGTCTGGGATAACATACAGTAATTGTCTTCAATAGTTTCTCCTGACCTTGACCTACTTTTGTTGCTATTCCAGGGGTTCAAAAGTTGAAAAGGGGAGGGGGGCAAACACAGGCTGGGCGTGTGTTTTTCATATACTACAATTATGAGTAGACAAAGTGAAATTGACCCATTTCACCTGTTTTTGTAGTTTCAAAATAACCATTACAAAAGGAACTCATGAACATGTTCAGTACAGAAAAATAACAGCAGCAGAAGGACAATAGACAATCTGATGTTATTTTTGCCAAGCCCTAAGAATTCAAAATTCTAAGTCTGAACTTAGGGCTCAGATCTGAAAGCCTGAGCCCTGGCCTCACTGGTACAACTACAATGGCTTAGTTAACATCTAATGTGTAACCCATGTGGAGGCTGTGTACATGTATGTAAGAATACTGTTTTAAAAATAGTAATCTAGTATATGACAGCTGCAGTACACCAAGACAATAAATACTATAATTCCGCATGTACGGCAAACTTCACAAGGATTCAGTCCATCCTGGTGTTCCCTGTGGTCGTGAATGGAGTTGTTCTTAGAATCCAAAACAGATGGTATTCAATGCCAGAGATTAAACCTTTAGACTCTGCTCAAGTGAACATGAAACAAATAGGAGCGAGTAGAAACACAAAGACTCCTGGTTCCTGGGAATCAAACCTGGGCCACCAGGTCACAAATCCAACACGCTTAAACTGCCAGGCCAAAAGGTACGGACCTGTTTGGTAGGTGGTGCTGGAACCCCACATTTACATCCAGCATACTCACACTCATTCACTTACATGTTACCTCTTACCAGTAAAAGGAACAGTCTTTGCCAATTGGATGTCATGTTGCATTCTTCTTAGAATACACACTATGTCACATAACTAGACTAAATGAATTACTAACAGTAACAGTGCAGAGAAGACAGTCAACTCAAGAGGATCTGAAGCCATGAAGACCATAGTCCTGTAACACATGTACAAAATCACTTTCTAAATTTACCACTATTTTATTGTGTTAGAAAATACCCATTCATACATTTATATTTCATGTTCCTTCCCTCTACACTATGGATCCTTTATTTCTCATATTATATAACTTTACAAGTTACATCTATAACACTTTAGGATTCTATGGATTTACTCATTGAGTCATTCAGTGTTTTGTTGTTGTTAAAACCAGTGTTACAGTTACAGAGGGAACCCATGTAGAGCGACTGATTGTAGTGTAAACATGTGATGTTGTGAAAGTAACTGGGACTGGAATGTTTTAATTGA